AGATCCCTGTTTCCAAATTTTTTCATACGAAAAGAGAATTTTAAGTAATATATTTAGTTTTCAGATGTATAATGTTAAAAGTCATATAATGGTGAGTAATGAAAATAAAATGTGTAAAATATGCATTTAAACAAGAAATAAGGTAATTAAAGTATATAGTATAAAAATATCTATAAAGCATAAGCCGTTTAAGTACTCTATAGAGCATTATTAAACAATGCATTGATACTTTGGAAATTTCATGGATTTAGGCTTAATAGCAAAAAAGCCCTTGGCCCTGGACAGACGCTCGCATAAGACACTGCCGGCCTCCACGATAAGCGCGTGTTTGCACTAGCCGACGCGAAGGGGTTAAGTTTTAAAAAAATGTAAAGAGATAAACAGAAATATTTATCTTAAATAGTTAAACAAAAAAAGTATCGGACCTTGTCTTATTTGGGGCACTTGCTAGAATTAAAATTCCACTCCAAAGCTAAGAAGCAGCTCAGCCAATCTCCGTCTGAATTTAAGCCCTGATTATATGATTAATGTACTATTTTGAAGGATGACAGATACAAAAACCAATCTTTTTTTGCAGAACACCAATGAAAAAATATAAAACGATTAAAGCGTCACTAGGGAGAATAGTGAGAATTCTAGAATGATATCAGGATATGGAAGTAAATTTTAACAGAAAAGTGTAGCTTTGAAAATCAAGAGGGAAGAGTCCAAGATTTCCTGATCAGGATGCTCTGTCGATATAATTCTAGCCTTTAAGCAGAAATTTTCCCCGAATATGATTCGGAATATGATAAGACTCTTCTGGTACAAGTGACAGTAGTGGTCCTTGCATTTGGTTACATCATTCAAAAAGTCTGCAGGAGCTCTGAAGTAGGAGTCATTAGAGGGGCACTTGCATTCCCTTTAGTACTTTCAGGAATGAGAAATTTATTCATTTTTATAAATTCATTGACCATGCTGGAGAATAAGCCTATTGACATGTGGTTGGAGACTTTTCTTTCCTTAAAAATCATACTTTCTGTCCAAGGTTTGATTCTGGGGAAAAGATAGGCCAGCATTCAGAAGTTATAGTCAATTTTTAAGGCATGTATTTATTATTTAAATAAAATTTGACTGCTGAAATTGTGGTTCACTTACATAAAAAAGTGCCAGAGCCCTTTTATATAAGGGCTGTGATGCACTCTAAAATTGTGATTTATATCAAAAACTGTGAAGTACCAGAGACGAGCTCCGGTGTAATTTAAGCTCTGGGGCAGATTGTAATGGCTCAAAGACTCGGAACGAGTATGTCTGAAACTGCGCGACTGCTAGGTTGTTTACAATCTGATGTTGTTATTATTTCTGCAAAGTGGATAATGACAGTGAAACCAGCAGTAGATGCTAATATTTTAGACTGTCGTCATCGGTCAGCATCATCAAAGAGGAAGGACGCTGGAGACTGTCCTACATGGTACAGCAAAATTGGTGCCAGACAGTTGTTCAGCTGACAATCTAGTACAATTATGCAGTTTCGGAAGAAGTATCTCTGACCTCAAGGATGGTGGGCATATATATATCATCAAAGAGAAAAGACGCTGGAGAATGTCCCATTTGGTACAGCAAAATCGGTGCCAGACATTGGCTCAGCTGACAGCCCAATACAGTTGTGCAGTTTGGTAACAAGTTATTTCCGAAACATTACAACTGGTAGTTTGTTTATGATCTTGATGTTATTAATATTCATGCAAAGTGGGTATTGACAGCGAAACCAGCAGTAGGTGCCAGGATGTTAGACATACATGCATCACCAAACAAAAAGGACGCTGGAGACTGTTCTGCTTGGTACAGTGAAATTGGTGCCAGACAATGGCTTAGTTGACAGCCTAGTACAGTGGAGGTCTTAGAGCAAATGTTTCAGAACACACAGCTCAGCAGACACTGTTGGATAAGGGACTGCACAACAGACTTCTCTCTCATGTGCCTCTGCTGACCAAGTGTGATTGACAACTATGCCTAGAGTAGACCCAGAAACATTGAGACTAGACTATGGATGAGTGGAAGATATTTACTTGGTTAAATTAATCATGATTTCTCATTTATCGCACCGATAGTCGTGTAAGGGTACGCCATCTTCAAGGCAAACAGTTGCTTCTCCCCCCCCCCCGTACAGCAAGTCATACACAGGCTGATGGTGGCAGTATTGTGTTTTGTGGAATGTTCTAATGGGCGGCTCTGAGACCCTTAGTTGTGGTAGAACAGACCATGAAAGTTGCAGACTATTTGAACATAACTGCAGATCAGTTGGACTTTTACTTGGCATCCATCTCTCCAACTGGAAATGAAGTCTTCCAGTAGGATGATGCCCCATGTCAGAAGGCTTGGATTGTGTTGGAGTGGTTCAAGGAACATAAGTTAATAATCCATTTAATGTCCTGCTCACCTAACTCGCCTGATTTTAACCTGATTCTGCATATTTGGGATGTCATGGAGCAGAAGCTCAAAGCTCAAACACCACCATGTCAGAATATCTCAACTTTGTATGACCACTGCTTAGACATTTGGTACAACCTGTCTTTAGTCATTTACCAAGAACTTGTGACATTCATGCCAAAGTGATTTGCAGCTGTTTTGCAGGCCAAAGGTCACACAATGCATTATTCAGTAGTTTTAGCTTTTAAGTATATATAAGAATACAGCAGTACTTCATAATTTAACTTTCGGCACTAAATGAACTGTTATGCAACAAAAGTCATACAATATGATCAAGGTGATCACACTTCAGTAAAAGAATTCAAATTCAACAGAACATGTAAATAATCTGGCTCATCAGCAAAATCAAATTATGTCAAGGTGTTAACTTTTTCTTTAATTCCAAATTTATTTAACTAAAAATTATCAAAGTTTACTTATCTTGTACATATCCATGGATTGGCCATTATCATCACTTGATAAGGGCCAATCAAAGATCCATATGCATTTCAAACAGATGTTCTTCCACGTAGTTCAGGTTTTCTGGCCCATTAATTTTTATAACATTTTCCTTCTTATAACCCTTAAGAAAAGAAGACATCTCGGGGCCTGTAGTTAAGATAATAAGGTAGGATAGACATCTTTTATTAGCAAAACTGCACACAAATGTAAAAGTGAGAGATTTGATGCTGCACTGTTCATGAATTGTCCATTTCTAACAGAATGTTTATTTGGTCACACAGCGTATAGCAAAAAAGAAAGTTTTTTGGGTGAATCACGCATCACATAACCAAGAACAGAGATGATCTATTTGAATAATGAGTCACAGCATTCGTTCCACAATAAAATATTTTTAAAAATTACACTGCGTAAAAAAAGGGAGGACACTTTTATATCTCTTGTTCTACTGTACTGATTAATGAAATTCAAATTGCGTTTTTCATGTTTTGAAAGCACGACTTAGGATATATATTAGATTTATTATATCATTGTTCTAATATACGTATTTTGACACAAAATCAGACTTTTTCTGAAATGACATGCCACTATTTTTCCCTGTTTCTATTCTATGACCCAAGTTATGCTTAAATATTAAATTTTGTGAAATTAATGCACAAAATGTATGGAGGAATTAAAAAATTTATCTTGGCACATTTTTTTCAGTTTGCGCCAAGAAAAATTTACTTCGCGAACTTCTCAATTTATAGCAACCTATTTTCCTTTCCTTTTTTTCATTGTACATGAGCGGGGTAAAAAGTCATTGTTCATAGTTCCAAATAATTTTAACAAACTGCGTAAACCACATTTGGCATTATTATTTATCACTTATAATAAATATGCCAAATTTCAAAATGTGCCAATATGCAATTCATGTATATCTTAGGAAACTTTGAATAGAAAAACTAATTTTTTACAGGTATGCTTAGAAATACATTTACTTTAAGATGATGGTAAAAAATTTATGAAAATAATTTTAAAATACAAATTTTAAAAATAAATCATAAAAAATGGGCAAATTTTATTTGAAATGAACCTAAATTTTGAAACGAAGAATAAAATAAGTTTAACAAAAAATTAGATATTAATAAATATATACCAAATTCAATTAATATTGAGGAGTTAAAATTTTGAGAGCTTTTTTTTTTTTAAATTACTTGTGCAATTTTTACAATGTTTGGCATAATTTGAAACATAGAATCGAAATATGGAAAAAAGTTGGCATGTCATTTCAGAAAAAAATCCGATTTTGTGTTAAAATACCTGTATTAGAATAATGCTATATATAAATCTAATATATATCCTAGGTCGCACTTTCAAGAAATGAAAAATGCAAGTTGAATTTCGAAAATCGGCCCATTAGAACGGGAGATGTAGAACTGTCCCATTTTTAATTTTTGCTCGGTGTGTAGAGTCATTAGGTTTTTTTTTTTTTTTTTTTTTTTTTTTTTTTTTTTTTTTTTGAAAGCAGACAAGATGAAAAATAGCAAACACCTTTGCCGGGAATCGAACCACAGACCTCTGGAATACTGGCCCGGCGTGCTACCGTTACACCACGAAGGCACGCTAGGGAAGTGGTAGAAATACCTTATATACTGCCCTTTTTAAAGGGCGATTAGGGTTTTAGGGGACCTAGTTGCCAAATCCTGGGTGCAGAGAATCATCATCCATAACCCTTTTAGTTCGGGCGCCACTTGTAGAGTCATTAGGTATTTTTTTAGGGGCGGAAAAGATGAAAAATATGCAACCGCCTCCACCGGGAATCGAACCACGGACCTCTGGAATACTGGCCTACGTGCTACCATTACACCACGAAGGCACACTAGGGAAGTAGGAGAAATACCTTATAGGTGTATATGTTGCTTTTAAATGCCTTATATTATTTTAGATAATATAAAGTAAATAAATGTAAGGTTAATTCAATGCTGTATAAATTCATAACAATTTCATTTTTGGCCTTGAATGTAATCTGAGAAAAGGAATATGATGACATGTGTAAACGTACCTTTCCTATGTTGTCTTGCATCATATTTCATTTTTCAAACTTTTTTCAGATGAACCAGCTATTGAAAATCTCAAAAGTTTATCTCCATCAAAAATTAATATTGAAATCCAGTGTCTAAGTCCTGAAAATGGAGGTTCTATACATCTCATGGAATGCTTTATGAGAGCTATGATTGAAGCAATGAAAACAAATAAGAATATTGAGCTTGTGCATTCGTATTTGGCACTCTTTTTCCAGGTAATGTTTTTATGGTAGAAATTTACTAGAAATAAGAAATACTAACTCTATTTTGTTATATTTTCTTAACAAACTTTCCATTAACACTTCACTGAATTGTTTGTTTATGATGCAACATATTGGATTTTGTTAAACTTCGGTCGAGGTTTTTTCTCACATTAAAATAAGATTTGTTATCTGTTTACAAGACTCATTCTCATTATTTAGTACACTGATAATCTTAGGGTTCATAGTGGTCCTTACAAGTGCTTATAAGTCCTTTTATATGAAAATAAAATATAAAGGCCCTAATAGGTGCTTACTTTTTCTTTAAAGCCCCCCCCCCCTTTTTTTTTTTAATGAATGTGCATTTTTCTCCGCACCAAAGCTGAAAAAACAAGTTTTCTTCATTAGATGGAACTTCAGATGGTGAATCATACTCCCGGAAATAGCTTTTCCCCCTTTCTCTGCATTACGTAACCTTTGGTGCGGGCGAGAGTACAGACAGGTGGTGCACATCATTCTATTAGTCAAAGAATTGCGAAAGCAGTAGGAAATTCCGGGTGCATTCGGTATTCTTTTCCTCTCCACCTAAAAATACTACACACGTTTGAATTTCTATCAAGATTTTAATAATTTGAATTGTCTTCTGCGTGGTCAGTTCATATTCGCGTTTATTATGATCATTATGCTTATATTATGAGCATATGTATGAGTATTTATAATAATATAGTTGCAGTAACTGCTGAAGTATAGATAAACTTCCAGAAATGGGTAAGTGTGTTTTAACAGAGATTAGCTTTCTAAGGAATAATATTCGGAATGGTTTAAAGGGAAAGTAATCGAATAGTCAAAATAATTTCTTTCTTTTTTTTTCCCCCAATACATTATACAGTACGGAGGTTGCGAGGTTCTTCCCTTTCTCTGCAAAATCGTGAATATTGAAACCGTTACAATTCGCTGCAAAACAAGCTCTCTCTCTCTCTCTCTTTTTTTTTTTTTTTTTTTCCCCCGTCATCTTTTCTGGATTGAATAAGATTAAAAGTTCTGCAATTTACCATCCCAAGCGGAGAATGATTCTATTCCGGAAATTTCGCAGTCTGTTCAAAAATTAGAATAAAAAAATCCCCCAGGTTAGTAAGTCTCTTTCTTTTCCTTTATTTAGTTCTTTATTGTCCGAATACCAGCAGCTGTTGACTCCGATTGTGAAATATCATGTAAGAAAGAATTACGACGCACGTATTATGCAATAACATTTGCGATATTTTGCAGAGATAATTAATTTTGATGTTCAGTGAGTCGGTTTATGAACACTTAAAAAAGTTTTACTATTTAGCCGAAAAATCTAAAGAACGGCTACAATCTACCCCCTTCTTTTTCCTAGTTAGCTCAACTCCGAAATATTCGGCAGTTTTCGAGTATGCAGGTTAGTTAAACTTTTACTGTTAAAGGATGACTGCATGAAGAAATTTTCCATCTTCTGATTTCAGAAGACGGGAAATTTCTCTTTTTTACCTAAATTAAAATTTCTCTTTTTTACTTAAATTACTTTGCTTGCAATATCTGTTAAGGGAAAACTGTTATACAATAAAAAGTTAGAGAATGTTTAGAATTTTGATTTAAGTTAAATTATTTAAATATTAATATGAGTGGAAAAATTAATTGTTTGTATTATTAGGTTCCAAGCGAATACAATAAATACGGCTTATTATTATTTATTTTCTCTATTTTGAACTAGAATTTCATCATTAAATCTTGTAATATGGCTTAGTTCTGCATAGTTTTTTTTTCTTTCATTGTAAATTAGTTCTGTAAATTGAACTTTTATTTAAAATTTAAAAAAATAGTTATTGTTTTCCATGGCTGAGGAATTGCTCATTCTCTCTTAATAAATACTGCATTTCTCATATTTTAAATTACAAGTCTAATTTTTCTTTTAAGGTTATGCAGTTGTGTATAATGTAATTAGGCAGGTGCTTATTTTTTTTCTTAAAATGTGCTTGAAAAGTGCTTATAGGTGGTTATTTTTTGAACTAAAATGTGGCTACAAACCTTGTAAAGTGATGAATAAATTTGAAATGTAATATGAAGGTGCATGAATTGAAAAACTGAAACCCTCTGATGTTGATAGAATTTAATTTAGATTTTTTATTTTGTCTATTTGCGCACGATGAATTAATGAACTGTAAAGTCACTTGAAGTGTAGAATAAAGGAGAAATTCATATTCTGTTAGTTTGTATGGAATATATGTGTCAAAGCTATATGTATGCATGTATGCATGACTTTCTTGAATTAAAATATAGTGTATTGGTGAAAATTCAGTGAAAATCTTGAGTTATTCAATTAAAAGAAAATGTTTTTATGCATAAGAAAGTGAAATTATCACATTTTTTTATTGTTATTTTATTTACAATTTTTATGTCAGTAATGCTGTAAAAATGATTTGATTATAAGTCTTATGTGTCTCTTTCCTGATAAAGCAGAATTTATGTGATATTTACATGTGACCGTCATAAATTGCCCAAGTTGATCTGTAAATAATTATGATTCTGAAATAAATAATTTAACTTGACTACTAAAATAAATAAGAAGTAATCTTTACATTGCAATTAATCACGGCCATTCATTTAAATTCTCAACTAAATAAAATACAAAAATTTGTATAATTTCTTTTTAGATACACCATGAAATAGTAGCAGCTGAGAAAAGTTTAACAGAATTAGCAGAAACATTGTGGAATATGAAAACATGGCAAGTACTACAAGAGAAAATACAGTTTTGCTTGTGTGTTGGAAATTATGCTAGAAGTGCTGTTCTTTGAAAATTGATTTGGTGTAGGCATTTCACATTTTCATCTAATGTATATAATCATAGAAATATGATGTATAAAAATTTATTTGTACTATTCATTTTTGTACATTAAATTATTTTTATTCATGTTAAAATTATTTTTAAAATATGGTGACATGTTTATTATAATTCATTGCCCTATCAAATTGTTTGTGTGTGGGAGTGATTTCATTCGTGTTAGATTAATATTAAACTCTTTTTTAATCAGAATTCCATTTGGTGAAATGATGGAGAAAATTAATATTGAATCATTGCATCTAAAAATTTGTTACCATCCATCTCTTTGTCAAATAATTTTTTTCCTACATTTTCATTTTTAGAGGCAAATAATTCATATGAAAAGAGGCTAGCATTTTGAGAATGTTATTCATAAAAATAAGGAGTTGTAAAATTGAGATGACTTTAAGGGAGCATTGTGAGAGGGGGAGGAAAACGATCGCTTATTGTTTTCAATAAATACAATATGTAAAATGTATTATAATGCATAATTTTGCTTATGATGAGAATTCAAATACCCATCAGAAGCCAGAGGAGAATGATCAAATTTTGTAATTTTTTTATACATATATATATATATATATAATATGTAATAATAAATATATAGTCCATAGTCAATCCATAGTCAAAATAGTCCATAGTCCAATCCATAGTCAAAATTAAACTTAAATTTCTAACTGTATGTTCTTTTTCATTTTTAATGGGGATTGTCTCTTATTTGAAAGTACGTGGAATTAAATCCACAGCCCCGTAGTCAAGTTGTTTTTCCCGCCTTTTCTACACGTACAGTTATAGAATGTTCTGGAAATATTTAAAGTGAACTGGATTGGCTGATGAGGCTGACGTCATTTCTTGGAAGCTCCGCCTTTCCAGATGCTATAAAAGGACTCGCAAAGGAATATCGGAGGCTTTTTCTTAAATGTCACGATGCAGTAAACTTCATACAAAAAGTTATTAATAATTCTTTTTTTATTTACTATATCTGATTTTGTAACTGCTATTTCTCCTGACCAATAATAAATGGATCCTGTTTTTTAAATTTATCGTCTGATAATTTAAGCTACAACTACATCTATGATTCTTCACCGATCTATTTATTCTGGACAAAAGCTGGTACATCACATATATATATCCCCGCCCCCACTGATTTTCAAAACTAATGCTTGAACTTCTTGATTTTTATTCACAATTTTTGTACAGCCTAAATGTATACAAATAATCATCATTTAAACATGTCAAGTGTGTGTATATATATATATATATATATACACATACATACACATACATACACACACACATAGCTTAGCCACATAATGACATAAAGAGTCTTAATAGATATTGTTCTTGCCGAAGATAGCTCGAACTTATTTAATGATACTTAACTTCAGTAAGTGGACTGTGATATTAACAATAACAATTTTATTTTAACAAAAACAACATTATTGAATACTAGCACACGCATGTGCTTATAGTTACCTATGTAACTTAGCTAAGAGCGAGCAACCATATGCTCTTACATCAAGTCAGAAATTATTCATACTAATAAAGCAAAAACGAAATAACTTTAGGGTTACACTAAAGCCAAACTCTGCTTGGCGTGAAACAATGCTGCCAAGCAATACTCTTTCAGACACCAAACATCCCGCCCGGCGTTGAAATATTAATTTCAATACAATAAATAAAATTCAAAAAAGTGTTCATACAATACAAAATGAAACAATGTAAATTAATGCACATATTATAATACAAGTAATTACAATGTGAAAAGAACAAATATGATGAATTACAATTCAAACCTTCAAATAAACATAAAAATTCTTACATTATTTCTCAATTGGCAGTACAGCAATTTTAGTAACTGCTCGTTTATAAATACCATTTTTGGTTTTGACAGAGACAACTCGCACAAGGTTGTCCTTCCCATAAAACACATCTACAATTCTCCCTAACAACCATTTGCAGGTAGGAAGATTTTCTTCCTTGATCACTACCATATCCCCTATTTTAATATTTTGTTTAGCAATCATCCATTTATTTCTTTGAATCAAAGTGCTCAAGTAATTATTAGTCCAGTTCTTCCATATATTTTGTACCATTTTTGTAGTTTTTTGCCATAAACTAAGTCTGTTATTATCTACTTCTGTTAAATTGGGTTCAATTATTGAATTGATCGGTCGACCTATAAGGAAATGACCAGGGGTCAAAACATTTAAATCATCAATATTAGAAGTTAACGGTGTAAGAGGGGCGAGAATTTAAGATTCCCTCTACTTGAACTGTTACTGTCAAAAATTCTTCGTAGGTTAATACTGAATTTCCTACTGTTCGTTTAAAATGAAATTTAAAGGATTTTACTCCTGCTTCAGATAGACCATTAAAATTTGGTGCTCTTGGGGGTATAAACTTCCATTGTATACCTTCCTCAGGCTAGAAAATTAGCTAAAGTTCCATTCTGCTTTAGAAAAATACTCATTAATTTTTTTATTTCTGTATTTGCACTAACAAAGTTTTTTTGCATTGTCACTAAATATTTTTTTTGGTTTACCTCGTCGGGCAAAGAACCTCTTCAGACAAGCAATGAATGCTTCTGAGGTTAAGTCATTGACAATCTCTAGATGAATTGCTTTTGTCACCATACAAACAAAAATACAAACATATATCTTATGATAGTTACCCTTGCGTTGCCCTTTGTACTTTATCAAAAATGGGCCGCAGTAATCAATAGCACAACAATTAAATGTAAAGTTAATATTAATTCTCTCTTTAGGTAATTCTCCCATTAGTTGTTGAGAAATTATTGGTTTTGCCTTATAAAGCAAATTATGCAGCTTTGGACTATCTTTCTAGCTATATTCCTGCCATTAATGGGCCAATAAATTTGTCTAATAGAATTTAATAGTGATTGTGGACCATTATGAAAATCCTTTTCATGAAAATAAGTAAATATAAGTTCAGTTAACTTATTCTTGGCAGGCAAAATAATGGGATGTCTTTGACTATAACTTAAATTAGAATTCTTTATCCTACCACCTACCCTTAACAGACCTTTTTCATCTAAGAAGGGATCAAAATATTTTAACTTACTCCTTGATGTTATCTGTAGACCTTTCTGCAACAAAGAAATTTCTTCTGCAAAATACCTACCTTGGATATATTTAAGGAGTGTATTCCTTGACAGCTCCATTTCATCTATACTAATACTACCTGTTCGTTTCTCACTTGTGTTCCTAAAGTTGTAGATAAATCTGAAAAGTAAACTAAGAATTCGTATTAGTTTCAAGAAATCATTAGTTATTTTTAGGAAGTCATCAAAGAATGAATGAGTTTTTAAAGTCAACAAGGAAGTCGTAACTGGTTTCAGTTCTAAAGAATAAAGCTCATCACTAAGTCCATTTTTATCTTGAAAATTGTCCTTGTTTAAAAAATCAGGACCTTTCCACCACAGCTTGTTAGATCCAAGAGTTGTAGCATCTTATCCTCTGGAAATGATGTCGGCTGGGTTCATTTCTGAAGACACATGTCCCCACTGATAGTTAGAAGTAAGTTGTTGAATTTGTGAGACTCTATTACTCACAAAGGTTTTCAAAAGATGCGGTGATGTATTGATCCAGGCTAAAGCAATGCTTGAATTTGACCAGAGCTTAACGTCATCAATTTTGAGTTTCAAAGCTTCTAAAACCTTTTGCATAAGTTTGGACAGGAGTAGACATGCTGATAGTTCTAATCTAGGAATAGTCATAGTCTTGATTGGTGCTACACGAGATTTGCTACAAAGAAGTTTACTACAATATTCACCAGGGCTTGTAATGCTTTGAAGATATATCACTGCCCCAAATGCCTTCTCGGAGGCATCTGCAAATCCCTGTAAAATGAGCATTGAAAAGGTCTCCTTTAAAATGCAACGAGGTACTTGTATATTTTCTATACTCTGAAGAGTTTTAATAAGCACATTCCATTCATTGGCAAGAGGTGGTGGTAACTGTTCCGCCCAGTCTAGCTTAAGCAACCAAAGTGCTTGCATGAATATTTTTGCCTTGCTAATAATAGGACCGAGTAGGCCTAAAGGATCATATAATCTCGCTATTTGAGATAAAACATCTCTCTTCGTAACATCAGGCTTTTCATTAACAGTAACTTTATATTGCAATGTATCCTTATTATTATTCCACAACATACCTAACGTCTTCACAGTTGTATTACTATTACGATCAAATGAAAAATTCTGTAAATCAGAGTTCTGAGAATCAAAACTAGTACACCACTTGTGTAGCTTCATTCCTCCTCTTTGGACTTAACTTAGCTAAGAGCGAGCAACCATATGCTTTTACATCAAGTCAGAAATCATTCATACTAATAAAGCAAAAATGAAATAACTTTAGGGTTACACTAAAGCCAAACTCTGCTTGGCGTGAAACAATGCTGCCAAGCAATACTCTTTCAGACACCGAACAGATATTACTTTCACAGCATGTTTCAAAACATATTTTAGAGTTATACAAATTTTTACTGTAAATTTTGGATCAGCCTGTAAATTCTTGAGTCTGGTGATGCAGTTGTTTTGATATGGTTGTTGGTATGAAATCTTTTCAAAAATATCACCTAGACCTGAAATTTTATTTTATTGCATAGTTATAAATGAAAATTTTATAAAAATGAGTGGAAGTGAAAGCAGATTATGTTGTATAAAATGAATGGATTTTATTTGTTTGTTTCTATTATAAATTTATTTATCTTCATGAGAATATTGTTTATTAAATATCTATCTCTGTTGAGGTATAGTATGCTTATTTTAAATTTACATCTAACTTTTTTAGTAAACTTTGAAAATATTCTTCTCCTCCTCAAATAATTTTTATGTCTTTCATGTTTTAAAACAACAGCATTTTGTAATGTCTTCTGCCATTGTTAAAATTGCATTAAGATTATTTTGAGATTATCAGGTTTAAAAACATCTAATATAAATAATCTAATATAAACATGTTTATATTGCTGTCATTGGAATTAAGTGCATAATTTGTGGCAGAGCTCAGTGATACTACATGCAGTTAATTTTAATGATATGTGAATAAAGAAAATTAATATTTTTTTCATAAATTAATGA